AAAGTTTACAAACATCAATGTAGGAAAACAAAAAGCAGTCACTGCAATAAAAGTGCCTCATTTTGGAGAAGACAATTTGGCAAGTTATCTAGTGAAGAGAAGGACCAGGGGACGCATAATAGCAGTGTTCCAATATTTGAAGGGATGCCACAGAGAGGAAGGGGTCAAGCTATTTTCCAAGGCACCTGAAGGCCAGACAAGGAATAATGGATGGAAACTGAACAAGGAGAGATTCAACCTGGAAATAAGGAGAAATTTTCTGACAGTGAGAACAATCAACCAATGGAACAGATTGCCCTCAGAAGTTGTGGGAGCACCATCACTTGAGACTTTCAAGAAGAGATTGGACTCCCATCTGTCAGAAATGGTGTAGGGTCTCCTGCTCGGCTGGGTGGTGGTGGTGTGGGAATAGATGATCTACAACAGTGGTTGCCAACCATGGACCGCGGCCCACTGGTGGTCCATGAGAAAATTTTGGTGGTCTGCAGAGAAATGTCACCCCCAGAGCAACCCCCAAAGCAATTAATCCAGGCTGTGCGGGAACACAAGGCTGCACTGCCCACTTGGTCCGCGGGAACCCCCCCTGCCCAGTCACTCCTTACCTGGCATGCTATGTTGCTATTTTTTCTTTTTTTTCTCTGACCATCAGCTGAGATTTAGGTTAGCTAGAAAGCAGGAAATCATTGCATTTCTTGCTTTCTAGCTAATCTTTAGATGTTCGGCTCTGCAAGCAGAGCCAAACTTTCCTTAGGACTGAAGCCTCTATTATTCAGTGCAGTTAGTCGATGGCAGATAGATCTCTGAATGAATCTGTGATTCTCTGAACAACTCAATCTGCCTGCCTGCTTCCCTGATTTTGAGCAAAATTTGCTCTTTTTTATAAAAAAAAAATATTTACATACATAGTGTGTTGTGAGTTGATTTTGTGAGTTTGCTTGCTAGCAAATTTTATGAGTTTGCTTGCAAGCAAATTTTATGTGACAGACTCAGGTAGCCAACTGCAGAATCATAGATCTCTAAGTGAATCTGTGATTCTGTGAGCAACTCAATCTGCCTGCCTGCTTTGCCTGATTTGGGGTAAAAGTTCCTCTTTTTTATAAAAAAATCAATATTTACATAAATATTTATAATATTTACATATAAGCCATGCCCAGCCAGTCACATGACCACCAAGCTACACCCACAAATTAGGCCACACCCACAGAACTGGTTGTTAAGAAATTTGAATCCCACTCCTACTTGTGTGTGTTTGAGAGAGAGAGACAGAAAGAAACGGAGAGGGAGGGAGGGAGGGAGGGAGGGAGAGAGTGGTTAGATCAGATTTCTCTCTCTCTCTCTCTCCCACCAATGTCAGCAAGCCACCATCAGTCAAAATTCATATTAGTGGTCCCTGGGATTTAAAATTTATGAGTTTGTTGGTCCCAGACGTCCAAAAGTCTGGCGACCCCTGATCTACAAGTTCCCTTCCAATTTATCTTTGGGAACAGCCAGATCTTCAAGGGATTTCTAAAAGTCTTTGGTGGAATAGATGTTATTCTAAAGACCAGGTAAGGCAACAAAGACAGTTTCATGAGTAACATGATTTTATTGAAGACACCCAGAACATGTCAGTCCCCTCTGAACTTGTAGTCAGAATAAAAACAGAATGACTCCATTTAACTCAGAATTCTGGTTTTTGGTCAATGATTTGATACGGGACCATTTCACTGTGAAAGGCACCGGTGGATCAGTATTGATTTTTTGCAGTTTGGTTACCGTCATCTACTACAATTCTTGAAGCAACATGATATTCATCACAAAAGGCACCTTTTCTCTTTCTTATTTTTAAAGGGACATTTCTTCTTCATGCAGATTAGGCTTCAATCCTTACAGCAAGGGACGGCATATAGTAAAGCACAAAGAGCTACCCAATGTCAGATACTGAAGAAGAATCATTTCAGCCATCAAGCGCCAAGGTTTCCTGGAAATATGCTGGCCCGTGGAGATTCTTTGCTTCTTGGTTCAGCAGTGAGCCAGTTCTCTTTGATATTTCCACACCTAAACTGTCCAGCACAATAACGTCTCCTGTCCACTAAAGCCATTGCTTGTAATGAGTTGAAAAATACTTCTACCTACCTATTATTTATTGTCTAGAGATATTTATTTATTCTATTAAATAATTTTCAATATCTCAGGTCTCTGACAGTTCATGACAGTCCAGCTGAATAACTTATGCCCCTGATTACAATACATATGCATATAATACATGTATTTTGTTTCTTTTGCCTCAGCTCATAATCCCAACAAATGAATGCATGAAGTGGGATATGTACACATGAGTGTGTCTGTGTCATGCAAATCCTGAATAATAAAATAGTTGCAATCTCTTCCTCTGCAAAGTAGCTGTTGCTACCAATTTTCACGAAGCAGTGTTACTCTGGCAAGAATCTTGACACTGCTTTTCAAGTTCGGGGCTCTTTTAACATTTTATTTTATTTTATTATACATTACTCTGAAAGCTTTGGTAGAAATGTAAGAGAGCTTGCAAAAAACCCTCCTGGAATAAGCTGTATTTTAGAGATTCAAATGTAAGGAATATCTGAAAAGCAGATGGCGGGGGAGGGGGGAGAGAATCACATTAAAAAGAGGTAGATTTTTAATTGCATGAATTGCTGCCACATCCTGACTATTTTGGCTCCTCCTGAAGATACCCCTACACAATTACTCTTGGCCACTAGACCAAGAAAAAAGGGATGACATTACTGTCCATAAAAACTCCAGAAAGAAAGTCCAGATTCTCATCATGAAAAATATTGGTGTTTCACTTCCATTTCTCATCCTATTGGAGTTTTAGGCCAGCACCAATCCTTCAGTGATTGCAAAAAGGCCCTGAAGCAAAGGGTTGAAAATTTAAAACAGGAATCTACTTGACTTTGGAGAACCATAATACACATGCTTGCAGTGTTGCATTTTTTATTCATCCATCCAGTAAGCACAGCTTCATTCATGTGCATGCAGATCTGCAAACACTGAAGTCCTCATTCATTAAAAAAATATTTGAATGTAACTGGCGAAGACTCCTGAGAATATTGCAGACAGACAATAGTTGGATATAAAAATACTTTAAAATGATGAAATGGCAAATACAACAGCTATTGGTAAACTTCAATTGCAATTCTATGTAAGGTGAGATGTTCATCCTAAGGCCCAAGGCTGCAATGTTGCTGTTGGATTGAAATTTTAATGTGATAGAAATGAGAAATGGTTACATAGAAGTGATGAATTATACCATTTTTAAAAATTATTTGCTTAATTTTACATATAACCTGCCCCAATTTCAAAAGGTTTCTAGGTGATATTATTATTAGTAGTGTATGGCATTGTTACATTAGCCAGGAGACTACAATCTTATTGCAAGTAGTAGTTTGGCTTTGCTAAGGTAACCAGTCCTGTTATAGGACATGCTTGCAAACTTCCCAAGATGCACCACAGGAGGGCAAGCTGGCTTCATACCAGAGAGAAAAACAAATGGTTCTTCCTGCAGCATCACCCAAATTCCCCTCCCTTCCTAGAGCTGCCTCACAAATGGACACTGCAACTGGGAAGTTTCAAAGCCATCAGGAATCTGACTGACTGCACAGAGTGCCAACTCGTCTCCACACTGAAGTAGTACCTGTCTATCTACTTGCATAGAACATGCTTTCAAATAGTTAGACAGACAGAAGCTGAAGCAAGTGACAGGAGCTTACCCTGCCACATGGTGCTTGGGCTCGAACTTCTGGAGCTGAGACCATCTGCAGTGTTATTAAGCTATTGAGCCATTGCACCTCTAAGAGCCACAGTGGTGCAGTGGTTAGAATGCAGTACTGCAGGCTACTTCTGCTGACTGTCAGCTGCCTGCAATTTGGCAGTTCGAATCTCACCAGGCTCAAGGTTGACTCATCCTTCCAAGGTGGGTAAAATGAGGACCCAGATTTTGGGGGGCAATATGCTGACTCTGTAAACCACTTAGAGAGGGCTGTCAAAGCACTGTGAAGCGTTATATAAGTGCTATTCCTATTTGGGGGGGGGACACCCATTAGGTAAAATGAATTCACTTAACAACTGCTGCAAAAAATGCTGAAAAATTGGATCAGGTCACATGATGCCTCAACGTACAACAGCATCAACTTGATGATTATTTTAGCTTCAATTACAGTTGAAGTGATATATAAGTCTAAGTGCTATTGCTATTGGTTGATATATAATACCAAAGAAAAAGAAAGAAAACTCTTACAATAATAATTAAAACTAAACCAAAACCAAACCAAAATAATATTTTTCATAAAATAAAGACAAGGATAAAACCCACAACAAAATTGAGATAGGCACCTATAGTCAATCATCTGAAAGTGAAAAAAACATCCAACTTAAATAAAATTTAGTTGTCCTGGTCCTTTCTACCTTCTGACCCTCAAAGGCCATATTTGGCCTCCCTCTTCAGGAAAAAGAATGCTTAATCAAAGAGCTCTAAAAGGACAAAGATGAAGAATTCTCATCCCAGAGATAGTAGGTGAAAAAACATTTGATAACCTTAACACCCTACAGCAAAGTATTCATATTATTTCTAGCTAGATTTTGCTAACAACTCAAAGCTTGAATCTTTGTACTGAATAATTTTGATCAGACACATGGTGGAGGCTTCAAGGAGACATAAGGCTTTGATTTCATGGTTCGAAAAAAGGTCACCCTCACAGATCAGATCAGAGCCAAAAAGCTTACATTATTTGTTGCAGGAAGAAATAGTAATCTTTGGCAGCATACTCTATTTTATTAAATTAAAAATTGCCTCCAACTCTACACCAGCTACTTCTAAAGCTAAGAATATCATCATAATAAAATAAGGACCAAGGATTTCAATGCTGTTCACGTATTCATTCGTGAGGAATACTGCAAAAAGGTAAGCTACGTTTGCAAAACCCTAGACCTTGCCTATAAAAAGGGAAGAGGTAGTCCTCATTTAGTAAACAAAATTTGACCGGCAGCTCTATTGTTAAGTAAAGAGGTTGCAAAGTAAAACCATGATTGTGCTTATGATATTATTTCAACTTTCCTTCGCTCACTTGCCAAAGTCATAAATGCAAAGATTGGCCATAAAGGTTTTTTTTTTCATCACCATTGTAACTGTGAATGGTTGCTAAATGAGGCAATCACTAACTGAAGACTAACTATATTTTGTTGACTGTAGAATACAAGTACCATCCAATAGGGTATATTCTTCATTGTTATAGTTACCTGGACCATACTCCAGTTAATTCAGCATTTTAGCTTCTAATCTATTAATGGATTATGGTAAAATCTCATGACCTCTCTCCTATTTAACAAAAGCCAGGTAGTGAAAGACTCTATAGCTGTTAAATAATGAGTATTGAATCCATTTTCAGAACTTTGGAAAGACGTGAAAGCTGAAATGAATGAATTTTGGAAGAAAGACTAGCTAGATTGGTTATAAGAAATGCTTTTGACCAATCACCAATTTAATCTTTCTTCCAAAATTACCACTGAAATTGACACACTTTTTCAACCTTCCTTTCTTTCCATATAAGCATAAAAATCAGCAATATTTGCATACATTATCATTTCTGAGGAATAAACAGAACTTTTTTATCTCAATCATTCTCTTTGTCTATCTATCCCTCCCCACTCCCCCATCCCAGAAGGAAGCACCAGTAGCAGAAGTACAATTATGGTATGAACTGACACATCTTCAAAGAAAAAAAGAAAGGAACTCCAGTTGTTTCCTGAAAAAGCACTTTTGGGACAACCATGACCTGGATGACTGAGAATTTCTACAGACTTTTAACTATGCGATTTGGGATGAACACCCTTCTAATGGTGTAGGAGTATGAATGGATTTCTAGAAAAAGGTGCAGACTACAGGAACCATTAGTACTATTCAGGTGATCCTGAGGATACAGATAAACTTCCAAGTGCTTCAACAACCTTCAAAAAGGATGCAAATGACCATCTGTCTACAACAAATATAAATCCTTCCATTTCCCACCATCCAGTCAGAGCTGAAGAAGCTTCTTGGATGAGAAGCAAAATGCCTTCAAAGAAAAAACAAGAAAATCCAGTTTCCTCCTGAAAAAGCACTTTGGGATTTTACTGAAAAATTACAGATGATGTATATATTGGGAAAAAACTGTAGAAGGCCATGATTAGGACAAAATTAAACACCAACAGCAAGTACCCTCAGTCAACATAAATCTTTCTTATGATGAATTTTAAACACACTTCCCTTCCAAAAGACAAAATATTGAAACTTTAAAAGGTGTAGCCTGATGGATAATGAAATGGAAAATGGAAAAGTTCCAGATAGGAAAGGCAGCCAAGAATTTGATACTATTTTCCTTTCTCAAAATATCATTTCCATTCTTCCATACTTTCATGTGTGAACATACTGCTACAGTGGGTATATTTGAAATTTGCTTCCCAAACTTTATCCTTCATTATCCCAAATTGCTACTTAGAATATCCTTCCATAGAACGTAGGTTCTATGGAATATCCTTCCGTAGAACACTTTAATTTGGAATGACTTAATCTTGTTGGGATTGGGTAATGGATTAATGTGTCTTTACTCAAAGAAAAAACACTTTGACCCAACTAATTTATTCAGGGAAGCACTGGTTTAAACCTTTGCTACTTTGGAAGGAGGGGGCCAGAAGTTGAGAGCATTTTAGTTTTGTAGGGAGAAGCATCATTCTACTCTAACTTTCAGGTCCAGCAAAAGATTACTCTGGAGTAGATTCCCCACATGTTTCTTCTTCCTGATTCTTGGTGCAAAAGGATGTCCTTCCACCTAGAATGAATTTAATTTGCTTTTTACCTAGTCCTAATCTGCTACTAATTTTTTCTTCTTAAGATTCCTGGATCATTTTTAGGCAAAGCATGTCCTTTACCATTGATCTTTGTACCCACAATCTCTGTCCTCAAGGTTCATATCTCAGTACCTACTCTTGTTTTTCAACCATCTGCTCCTTTTATTCCATCCTTCACTTTCTCCTCTTTACCTTGACTGAACATGTATCTGAATGCCAGAAGGAAGTAGAGCTGTTGGAAAGCAACTTTCACATAAACCTGCATGTTCTAGAACATGATTCTCAACCTTTTCTTCACCATGGACCTCCTTTAAATATCTTTTGTGGCTACGGACCATGGCCACTGACCCCCAAGACTTAACTCATGATTTAAATAATAATATTTCTTCAAGCCTTTGTGGATCCCCTGTGGCATCACCCCCCTTTGGTGGTCTGCCAACCACACATAGAGAACCACTATGCTAGAATATTCAGACACATGTTGTATGAAGTGTAAAGCAGACATAGATTTCCACTCAGAATTATAATATTGAGCCACGGTGGCGCAGTGGTTAGAGTGCAGTACTGCAGACTACTTCTGCTGACTGCAATTTGGCAATTCAAATCTCACCCGGCTCAAGGTTGACTCAGCCTTGAGCCTTCAGGTGGGTAAAATGAGGAACCAGATTGTTGGAGGCTGACTCTGTAAGCCACTTAGAAAGGGCTGTAAAGCACTGTAAAGCGGTATATAAGCCTAAGTGCTATTGCTATATGAAATGTTCCAAAGTTATTCTGAATGGCAGAAGAAGCACCACCTTCCAGAAGCCTGATAAGGCATTCATATCTTCCAGACTTGGCCCTTTCATATCATATCATATCAACTCAAGGTCCACCCACTTGGATGCATGGAAGAATGTTAATCCATTTCATGTAATGAGGAGCACACAGCTTTCAACACATCTCAGAGTCTTCTGAACTGGGCCCAAATACTGACTTGGTGTTGAATAATTATTTGAGTTCTTTATTTTTCAGTAGAATATGATTAAATTGGTCAAATGTATTTAGGATGACTGGGCAAGTATTGCTAATGAGATACAGAAAGATAGGGGGAGGGGAGAAATTGATGTGCTTCAATAACACTTTCATGTAACACTTATCTTTGACTGTACATTAATTCTTTAATCCCTCTGTACCATGCAGAGATGCCTAATTAAAGTACATTTTTCCTCCTTTTCTAATGCTCATTTTGCCAGCTATGGAACATTTATGCTGATTTTCATGGCTGTAGTTGATATTCTTTCATTTGAATGGTGAAGGAGAGGAGGGAAACAGCACACATGCTTTCTTTTGGTTAGGTTCATTAATCTTCATAACTTTTTCCTAAAATAAGCCATGTTCCATCTTGTGTGTATTCCAAGCTGCAACCACAAATACTTCTACTTTTTGCTCCTGACGAAGCCCTTTCAAGTCATTCCACTTTCTTGGGCAGGTCATATACACAACATAGACTTCCTACCTACCGAACTAAACAACAAATAGAATAGAATTCTTTATTGGCCAAGTGTGATTGGACAGACAAGGAATTCATCTTGGTGCAAATGCTCTCAGCATACATAAAAGAAAAGATACATTCATCAGATCAAGAATCATAAGGTACAATACTTAATAATAGTCATAGGGTACAATAAGCAATCAAATCATACTAGGAAACAGTCAATATAAATCGTAAGGATACAAACGACAAAGTTACAGTCTATTACCCTCAGTTGTTTTTCTGAATATCTCCTGTTATCAGACCTGCAAGTAATAGTCAATTGCCACTCAATTGGGTGTGCCATGCGATTCTTGGAAAGTTGTTCAGTCATTTTTGAAGCTTTGTGTCTTGATGGCCAACATTTCTCCGGGATTGTCGGTTACCAACTGCTTTTTCAGACATTAGTGATAGTATCTAGCTACCTTTTCTTTGGGCACCTTCTTTTTTAGATCACCTTTCATTTTCCAAACCTCAGGGTCTTCTCCAATGACTTTCATCTAATGTATCCTACCTAACTGCTTAAGCAAAAGCATTTATTATTAGTTTTCATTGAATGATCTGGCTTTACTTCACTAATATTGAGGATCATGTTAGTATAAGCCAGTGGTATCAAACCCAAATGTGGCCTATGGGGTGCTTAAATGGGGGACTACCCTGGAAATAGCGAAGGACCAGCCCACGGTCCTCTGGCAGCCAAAATGGTGCATACAGTGGCGGATTAAGACTCACTGGTGCCCTAAGCACTGACAAATCTTGGTGCCCTTCCTCCTTTGTACATACTATACAAACAAAGCCAAGCTTAGGCTACATAAAAGTTTTTGTGGTGTCCCCTTTGGGCTTGGGGTCCTAAGCATGTGCTTAGTCTGCTTAATGGTTAATACATCACTGGTGCATGGAGGGCTGCGCACGCCCCCCGTGCCCCATTTTTGGCCTTGATGGCCTTTCGCACCCCATTTTGGCTGGCAGGGTGCTGCAGGAGCCCATCTATGCCAAAAATGGGATGCAGGGGAGCCATATGCAGCACCCGCTCCCTGTTTTGGCTAGCAGGGTGCTGCAGGAGGCATCCTGTCCTGCCTCCCCCCGCCCCAGCCAGCCTGTGGAGGAGATGTACAATGATGAACCAGCCGTTGAAGAAATCCAGTTTTATACCCCTGGTGTAATCCAATGTTCTCTGTCATCACAATCCAAATGCCTCAAATTTTCCTTGTTCGGTCGTCATTCTTGACAATTTTTGATCCCTTACATGCAATGAGAAAGGCTTTATATAACCTCTCCCTCAAGTAGCAAGATATCTTGTATCTTCCCTGATGATCAAATCTTGTTCAGATTTAAAATGCTGCCACTTAATACCAAAAAGTCAAAATCCCATATTATTTCTTGTAGATCCCTGCAACATTGGGCAAATTTAATATTTGCAGTACATTGTTACAGTTGCCTATAAGTCTTCAGAACAGAAAATTAAAGTTGGATTGGTTGTTTCTCATTGCATTATATGGTGGAACCCATATCATAGCTGGTTTCACCTTTTGTGTATGTGTGGTTGTATGAAGTGTGGTTTATTGGCTCAGCCAATCTCATTGTATACATGTTGTAGTCTGACAATAAAGGTAATAATAATTATTATTCAATAAGCTATAATTGTTCTGCTTGGCTCGCA